ACTGTACAAATGTGCAGAGTGTGAGTGTGTGTGTGTGTGTGTGTGTGGTGCATGCAGCCACAATGGGTGGTGATAGTATGTTTCTGAAATCCAGATGTTAAAGAAATAATGTGTGGAAGCGTGCCCCAGATATTCTAAACCCTTTGCCATTCATCTCTTCCTCTTTGACTTCAGGAGAACCCTAGATTTTGCTTTCTGACCCTCTAGCATAGAGTTACGCGATCCTGACCTGAACTCAGCCTCCTGTGTGACTTCTCCTTGGCCTTCCTTCTTCTCTGGTCTGTGGAACCCAGGGAGGCTGCCTGGTGCTGTCTCTGAGCGCCTTGGCCATGATGTCAACCCAAAGAAAACAGCATCCTATCTCCTTCCTTTTCCCCCACCCAAAAGTCACTTCCTCTTAGTTCATTACCTGGGATTTTGATGTCTGTGTTCCCTCAGCATTATTGATACACACAGAAAAAAAAAAAAGGAACTTCTTGAAATTCCCCCAGAAGGTTTTCAGAGTTGTTTTCAGTGTTGCAACTTGGAACAACTCAGTTTCTAATTGAAGTTTCCATCAGAAAGCTTGGTAGGAGTAGAGTATATAAGCTCCAGTAGCAGCAGCAGCAGCAGAAGAAACAAGAAACGGTTTCAGACCCAGTGAACTCCGCAGCCTGGCCACAAGCAAGGTAAGCACTTCGCTAGCCCCTGTGATCCCTTTCGCAGGCCCGCAGGCTGTCTGGGGGTAGGCACCATGCGTGTGCCACCCCTGCACCTGGCGTCGTGGACTGGGTAAATGCCTGGAAGCGTTTCTGGTGACTTAGCTGCTGGGACACTAGTGAAAAGTCAGTAGTTTGGGGGCTGATGTCTAAAGTATTAGTTTTAAAAGTCAACTAAGAATAATTGTATACCAAGGTCTGGGAGCAGATGCACATTAGAAAGATATGATTTTGTCTTGTTTAAAAGTGGTATGTATATAAAAGTGTGTTCCTCAAGGGCCAGCCCGATGGCATAGTGGTTAAGTTGGCATGCTCCACTTCGGTGGCCCAGGGTTCGCAGGTTCAGATCCCAGGCATGGACCTAGTACCGCTTGTCAAGCCACCCTGTAGCAGCATCCCACATAAAATAGGAGAAGATGGGCACAGATGTTAGCTCAGCGACAATCTTCCTCAAGCAAAAAGAGGAAGATTGGCAACAGATGTTAGCTCAGGGACAATCTTCCTCAAAAAAAGTGTGTTCCTCCACATTAATGCCCGTCACTTAAAGGATTGTATAGAGTTGGAGTGGCACTTGCCTTTAGTGTTGTGAACTTTTTGAAAGCTTTGCATTCATTAATAATGAATTCAATAAATAAACGAATTCGGACTTATACCTCATAACTGAATGTTACAGAGCATACTTGCTCCCGTATGTGTGACGGCTTGCAGTCAGTTGTGACAGTCAACCAGACTCATAGCTGGGTTATCCAGATCTTTTGGATTAACTAACTTTGGCCCCACTTAAAAAATGGAAAGCAATTGAAAGGTCTAAAACTACTTTCTTAAAAGTTTTAAAGTCTGTGAGAGGGAAAAACAGAGATATTCTTTACTGTCCTGGTGTCTTACAGTTACCCAAGTAAAGTGTGTGCAATGATTCTCAGGTTGAAAGAAAATAATGATCCGGTTAAAATATTATTTTTACAAAGAGATTACCAAACCCCACGTGGTGGCCCACTTTTTTTCAAATAAGGAATTTCAAGGCACTAGAAGGAATTTGGGCATCCTCTTAGAGTTCATTTTACTGAAATCTGACATTTTTTCATTTCTCTACAATCATTCTTCTAACAATTAATGAACTCCCTCTATGCTAGAGTCTTTATGCTAGACTCTGGGGACAGAGTATGGAATAAGAGGGACATGATCCCTGCCATCAGAGACCTCAGTGTGGCAGGGAAGACGAACAGTAAAGAAATAACTATATTATCGCAATTGTAGTAAGTATCCTGAGAAGAGGAATGGGGCTCTGTGAGAGCAAATAGCCAGGAGTCCTGACTTCATTTGGGCAACAAGCTGGATACTCTCCATGAATTATTTCATTACCTCCTCACCACAGCAGGATGCCCATTTTACAGATTAAGAGAGTGAGGCTTAAAGAGGTCAGTGACTTGCCCAGAGTCACACAACTAATAAGTGGCAGAGCTGGGATGTGAATTCAGGTCTGCCTGGCTCTAAAACTGGGGCCCTTTGCCTGTGCTGCCCACGCCTCCTGTGACTATGTCTTTTTATTTTATTTATTTATTTATTTATTTATTTATTTTGGCAAGGAAGATTGTCTCTGAGCTAACATCTGTTGCCAATCCTCCTCTTTTGCCTGAGGAAAATTGTCACTGAGCTAACATCCGTGGCAATCTTCCTCTGTTTTGTATGTGGGACGTCGCCACAGCATGGCTTGACGAGCGGTGTGTAGGTCCATACCCAGGATCTGAACCTGTGAACCCTGGGCAATAGAAATGGAGTGTGCGAACTTAACCACTACGCCTCTAGGCTGGCCCATCTTTTTATTTTTAAATAATAATGTTATTTTCTAACTAAAAAGTAACAAACAAAATAAACCTTGAAAAAGAGATGCCCACCCAGGTATCATTGGCATGCCCACGCTGGCACCAGCGTTGGGAGCCTTAACATACCACAGGACCTGGGGTCCCTGCATCCCACCTCCAAGGGTTTCAGGAGTTTAGAAAACCTATGAAATTACATGAAAAAAAAAATGTCTAATCCTCAAGACTCTGAAACTCAGCATGTCAAGGAAATGTGGGCTGTGAGCTACGGCTCCCTGGCATCAGCTGACCTAGAGAACAGCAGGGTGACTACCTGCTGCCCCCTTTTTGGTTTCTCCTGGGTTTGCTTAAGAAAGTGACCCTCCATCATCTCTACACCCTGGTTTAAAAGGTAGATGATACTGAAGTGAGAGTTGTTTCTTACAACTGTCACCTGGGCTCCCTTAACCCCGAAGTGCAATTCACCTGAAATTCTCAAATGCATCTGAGGCCCAGAGAAGAATTGCTGGGCATGTAGCCAGCCAAAGGGAAAACGTCAGCATTAAGGGAGTGTAAAAGAATCACCAGGAGGTACCAGGAATCTCTGTCGTTTTCCTTCCCAGGGTGCCAACGTCTGGGTTTTACAGACCTGTGTAATTGCAGTACCTCTATGGGCGTTTCCCTACAGCCAGGCACGATTTGTTTGTCTACCTATTGTATACAAAACAGAGAGATACCAAATTTTCCCTTTATCCCTTCCCCTAGGTACAAGCTAACATGCTATCCATTGCCTTCTATAATATGTCATCTCATTGCATTCTCCCAACAACCCTCTGAGATGGATGTTATATCCATTTTGTAGATGAGGAGATTAAGGCTCAGAGAGTAATTTGGCCAGCATCACACAACGAGTAAGTGGTGGGACCAGAATTTAAGCCCACATCTGCTTGACTCCAAACCTATGAATGGACTCACTGATGCTCTGTGGCAACGAGTACTTTGCTACAGCCATAACTTGGGATGAGTTGATAGGCATGTCCCTGAAAACTCCGTGCTGCTGTGACAGGCGCGCTGACCATGTGCAGGGAGGCCTGACCTCGTCCTGTCTCTGCCCCTCACAACCTTTACAGTCTAAGGGGGTGACATCCATAGCAAGGATCCCCTGGGATTAGCAGCAGTTCTAACGAAGCCATGATTTGTCAATATTCAGTCACCCCAACCAAGCAATGCTCACTTTTAAGGTACTTGGCCAAAAATTTTGCATCTTGTTCTTCATATGATTTAGACTGTGGTTTCTGCAGAACACTGGTGCTCTCTGAGATGGATGGAGGCGTTTCACTGAAATGAAATAATAATCATCTCTACCTAATTCACAGGTTGGGTATGGTTTTCACAGTCTGAAGATTTTCATAGATCCTGGATACTAATATAGATTGAGTTTCAATATAAGATGGAGGCTGATTTAGTGTAAAAAAAAAAAATATATATATATATGTATTTCATCAATTCATGGTGACTATATCAATATTTTATGGTCTGCTCTCAGGGAACATCTTGATTTTCAGAGGCTCTGGACCCTGAACATGGACTAAACCAGAGGTTCTCCAAGTGTGGTCCCCAGACCAGCCAGATCAGCTTTGCCTGGAAACTTTTAGGAATGCAGATTCTTAGGCCCCATCCCCAGACCTGCTGAATGAGCCACTGTCGGGGTGGGACTCAGCAATCTGTATTGTAGCAAGGCTTCCAGGTTATTCTGACTTACATTCAAGTTTGAGAACCACTGGTTACATTATGTGGGAGGAAGTAATCTGTGAGTTTGGAGCAATTACAGTCTAAACAAGGAGAGAAACTAAACCTCTGCAACAAGGGCTGGCAACCAGGTCGTTGCCAGAACTTGAAAGATAACTTCTGTATTGCCTTCCCGCCACCCAAAGTCCTTTAGTGCTGGTGTCACCGCATATACTGCCTCTGCTACAATGGTACAGGTGTGTAGCTGATCTCCCCAACTGGAGGGTAAGCATTTAACACACTGACTTCATAAATATTTGTTGAATGAAAGTATTTGCTCCTGCAAGACAGAAAGAATCCTTTTTTCACTCCCAACTGCTCTAGTTCAGTGCCCTTTACATAGTAAGTACCAAGTAAAAACTGCTGAATGCTGATCGAGACACGTCATGCTCCTTCTCTGAGCCTTAGGTTTCTCATCTTAAAAATAAGAGGATTATATCAGACGGCCGGCCTTAGGTGTCTTTCAGCCTCAGATAGTCTGCGGTTCTCTATTTGGAGATGTTCTTGTCCAGAGACTGGCTGGCACAGGGCTCCTGTAATTCACTTAACCTGACTGCGTAGAGAAGAAGACGGTGTAGAAAATAAAGATTAAAAACAACGTAGGGAGAATGTGAATATGGCTTCTGAAGGTAACTGAGTAATTGTTGACCTTCTCTCTCCTCTTTTCCCTCTTCTTTCTCTTTTCCTCCTTCTCCTCCTGGTTCCCTGCCTCCCACAGATGCATCAGCAGTGGTTGGTCCTCTCCTGGTTTTCCCTGGTTTTGCTGGCGTCTCCCCTCATGGCCATATGGGAACTGGAGAAAGATGGTAACCAGACTCTCCTCATGCTCTCTGGATGCCCCGGGTTCTGAGCCAGGCCTCTCGGGAAGCCCTGTGGGGAAATTAGACTGAAATGGACAGCCGTGCATTGGGGCTTCCTAGGGGGAGCCATCACTCTGGGCAAACGCGGGCCGTGTGTCCTTATTTCCCCTTCGAGGGTGTCTATCTTGCTGACTTTCACATTAGATATGTGAGAAGGAGCTTTTTGTGGACTGTGGTGGGAAGAGATATAGCATTACTAAAAACCACCTCTACCATAACAATTAAGATTCCGAAGTGAAGGGTTTGAAAAGTCTAAAAACTATGTTCTAGCATTTCCTGCTCCACTGGGTGATATCACCCCCTCAGCTGGCACCTAGGTGACTTACCTCTGACTAAGCACTTTGAGGAAAGTATAGGATTTAGACTCTCATTGACTTGGGTTCAAAAGCTGGTTCTGCCACTTCTTGGTTATGTGACCTTGAGCTGGGTCACCTCTGAGCCTCAGTTTCCTCAACTGTAAACTGAGTGTTACAAAGTGATGCCTGCCACATGGATTATTAAATACGTTAGTGAATGCTGAAGACAGCCCAACAGATGGTAAAGTGAAAATAAATGTGAGCTAGTATTATCGTTTTGGTTGTTTAAAATAATGTCTCTAAATGATACAAGAGAACCTGTTTATTATCCCAATGATCAATAAAAACCATTAGTAGAATAATAGAATAGGTATTAGTGGAATAAGGGGTCTCCTCTGGCCTCCTGTTATCTCACATGTGGGAAATATGTGTTAACTGATTGTTGTTCCTAAAAGACCATCAGATGTTTCTCATTTTTTTAAGCCAACATCATAATGTTGTTAATTACTGTCTTTGTATAATAATGGTTAATATTTATTGAGCACAGTATCTCATTTAATTCTTACAACAACTGTATGAAATAGGAACTATTTGTACCCCATTTTATACATGTTGAAAATAGAAGCTACAGAGATTAACTAACTTACTCAATTTTACATACCTGGTGAGGGTGGAACAGGGGCTTGATCCCATTCTGTCTCACTTCACAGCTGATGCGCTTAAGTATTTCAAGAAGGACATGAAGTTTTCTTCTCATAAGTATTTTACGAGAAGGACGTGAAGCAATTGTTTCCTATGTCCTTGGAGAACTGAGCAAGAGGAAATAGACATAAATTAAAAATCTTCATTTAATATTTTAAATAGTCTTTTGACAGTCAGGAGAGTGTAACACTGAAATGGGGGCCTGAAAAAAATTTTGAACTATTCTTAGGAATTTCAGGAAGACATCCATCCAGCCGTCCCCACTCTGCTCCAGGAGAGCTTCAGACCCTCCCTTGAGTAAAGGCAGACAATTGTGCCAGATCCCTTCCAACCCTGGGATTTTTAGTGAGCTCGGGAACTTTGGCCCTTGCATAGTCAACTGTTAGTAACTTCTGATTTGGTAAACCACAGAAATTCCAGAAAGTCAATGTGAGAGACACTGAGAGGGCTTGCGACCTTGGAGACAAGATGAGATGCAGCCAAGCGCTAGGTTCTAGATGCTCCTCATCAGGTTCCCTCCTGCAATTGTGGTCCCTGTCCCTGGACAAAGGTCTTCTAGGCCTTCTGAGTCTTTGTTGTGACAGGAAAATAGCCACACCGTTCGGTCACCAGTGGGACAAAGGAAAACTAGAGAAAGCCAAAGATGCCATGTGGTTTTATGTCATCACAGCTAATCATTTCCAAAGAGTTGGGTCCCAAATGCTTTTCCCCTCTTGTCTTTGTTACCCATTCAGTAGTTATAAATCCCTTTCATGTAAAGCGAGAACTTTATATCCCACAATGCTTTCCATTTGGATGCCAACAGCAAGAGCCACCATTTATAGAGCATTTAAGGGGTGTGGGTTAAGCTCTTGTATGAATTAGCTTGTATAATCCCCATCTCAACCTTCTGAAGCAAGTACGATTATTGTGCTCATTTTAAAGATGATGACACTGAAGCTTAGAGGAATTGAATGTCCTACCCAAGGCCACAGGCTAGTATGAGATAAAGCTGAATCTAAACCCAGACCTGTGTGACTCCAAAATCCAGGCTCTTAACCGCGATGGCTCTCAAACCTTAGTGGGCATCAAAATCATCTGGAGAGCATAAATAACCAGATCACTGCGCCCAGCCCAAAGTTCCTGATTCAGCAACTCAGAGTTCACGTTTCTAACAGATCCCCAGGTGATGTTGCTGATGGTGGTTCGATGATCGTGCGTGGAGAAGCCCTGCATTAAACCATTCTATTCAATTCATAATTGATGCATGAGTGAATGAATGAAGGTTTGATGTGACACACTCTTTGAAATACTATACTAAGCCATTCCTGAAGTGCCAGTTTAGATACTGGTATGAGAGATCCAGTGCAAAGCCAGAGACAAGGTCTAAGATGTAGCTCTTGTGCTTCTAACTTGATATAACCTTGCTTAGCCTCTTGGTCTCAGTACCCTCCTCTATAAAATGGGAAGACAAAGATCTACTGAATTTCCTCATAAGAGTATAAAATAGCTAAAAAAAACACAGAGAAAGAAAATCTCCATTGGTGAGTTTCATGCAGTAGGAACTAAATCCTTAAATCCCCATGGAGAATCATAAGACAGTTCTCTGTGCAGTTGTCTGACCCTTTGGTCTCTGAATAACAATAACAACTAAGTTTACTATGGTGAACACTGTGGTGAGTCCTTTCCTTAAGCACTTTACTAAGTACACTGTGCTAAGTGCTTTTGCATTTAATCCTCACAGCCAAACCTGAGGCATAGATACTATTATTATTGTCATTTTACAGATGAGGAAACTGAGGTTCATGGTGATTAAGTATCTTGCTCCAAATTCCCCAGCCAGCTGGTGGGGACAGGATCTCAGGCTTGGTCAGTCTTTCTCGACACTGCCCTGCCTTATTCCCTATAAAACTGAAATTGTATTGGAAGTTTCTTATCTCCACCAGGCCTTCAGCAAAGAGTCTTGTGCTGCTTGCATTTTTTGGTGTATCAAGGCCTTCTTCATCTGCCAGTGATCAGAGGTCAATTATTAATGGCAGCCTGCCAGTTAATGAGTCAATGGCAACTATAAAACTCTTTGCTTCTCTCTTCCATGACCTTGAACCCAAGTGGGGCCCAATACCCTGAGATCATCTCAGCAAGCATTTGCTGTGATGTGCAAGATTGTGCTTTGGCAGTACAGATGCCCAGGTGGTTCAAAACACACAGTCCCAGGGTTCATGGAGCTCATAGTCTGGTTCTCCATTCCCTCTGCTCTCCAGTGTATGTTGTAGAATTGGATTGGTACCCTGATGCCCCTGGAGAAATGGTGGTCCTCACCTGCAATACCCCTGAAGAAGAAGGCATCACCTGGACCTCGGCCCAGAGCAATGAGGTCTTAGGCTCTGGCAAAACCTTGACCATCCAAGTCAAAGAGTTTGGAGATGCTGGCTGGTACACCTGTCACAAAGGAGGCGAGGTTCTGAGCCATTCTCACCTGCTGCTTCACAAGAAGGAAGATGGAATTTGGTCCACTGACATTTTAAAAGACCAGAAAGGTAATGCCATTCCCTTGGATCATGTCAGTTTTCTCTTGCTCCCTAAGAGGTACAAATGTAGCAATGTAGTAATATCAAGTCTCTTACTGAAGCCACCCAGAACCTATGTTTTCCTTGGCTTTGGTTTTCCTTTGCTAGACACTTTGGGTTATCAACCACCCAAATCTCATGTTGAGACAGTTTCATCTGAATCTAGATGCTTTTCCTGAGGTTCTCTTTAAATAACAGTGGTATTATTGGATGACTAATGGAAGTTAACCAATGTGTATAGTGCCTAACTCAGCCCTGGGGGATAGCCTTGAAAAAAATTAAACCCTCTCCAATGTGTTAGATGTGTAGTATACTCTGCAGAATCAGCATCCTACTGGGACACTCCCAGTCCTCAGTGACCTGCCTACCAGGGGAACAGCAGCATTTTCCAAGGAAATAAATGGAAGGTCTTCACTCTTGGACCAGTTGGTGGCCTGTGATTAATCACAATCAAAATCTTTCTGAAAGAAAACCCCTAAATATCGAATTTTTGTTTTTCTCAAACCCAGAATCCAAAAATAAGACCTTTCTAAAATGTGAGGCAAAGAATTATTCCGGACGTTTCACATGCTGGTGGCTGACAGCAATCAGTACTGATTTGAAATTCAGTGTCAAAAGCAGCAGAGGGTAAGTGAAACCGCTCCAGTTTCTCAACATTTTGCTAGAATGATTTCATTAAGAATGAGAGTGACCTAGCAAGGGCCTGTCAGTCAGTGCTAAGGGAGAAAACAAAGTCAGACCCGTATTGTTTCACCGCCCCACTTGCCTAAGTTGGGGAAAGAACATGGAGCGCTAAGCTAATCACCTAAACAAATGTATGCGTTAGAATAGGACATTGTTGGGGCCTGGGAATAGCCTCTGCTGTGTTTGAACCCACTCATCCAAATTGCCAGGTGATGCTGGATTAAGGCTTATGGCACCACGGGGAGGGATAAAGGGAGAAATTGAAGCTATAAACGACTTGCCAAAATTGCACCTTGAGTCAAAATAGAAACAAGAGCTCTAGGGCATAGATCCTGAAGCCGACTCCAGAAAACTCTGTGAGGCCTCTGGAAATTTTTCCCAGGGCCACTTCAACTCCTTTTTCTTCTGCCAACACTTCTAATCTGAACTTCACTGTTTGTCCAATACAGTTGAACTTTCCCTAAGAAGCCAGCTGCCATGGATACAGAACCTAGGTTAGCCCCTCCACGTGTCTCCCTCCACTCCTCATCTAAGTCCCCAACAACAGAGGATGGAGGAGCAAACCCTTGGTGACCAGCCTGGCCTGGCCACTGCTTCACGGAGTAAATGAACCTTTGGGCCTCACTTTGCCATCTTTAAAATGAAAATGCCAGCCAAAGAAATGCTTATAGATGTGCACAAAGACATAGATGCAAGTGTTTATTGTGACATTTGTGGTAATCAGCAGGGGAAAGGTTAAATAAAGTGTGGTACATTATGCTCCGGCTTAATGTGCAGTCATCAAAATGAATAACCCGGTCCATATGGTCTGTCATGGAGCTCTCCCCATCATATGTTCAGACAGGGAGGAGATGGTTACAAAACCATATGTGTGCATGTGTGTGTGTGTCTATATATATATATATAAAATTGGATCCTATTTTATAAAAAATAAAATCAGTGTTTATACATATAGACAAAATACATGTGTGTATGCATATATACACGTGGATATATAATTGCTCTGAATATTCATTGAGAGAGGTCTGGAGGGATACAACAAGCAATGAATTGTATTTCTATCTGGGGAGGGAGATTAAGGATAAAGGAGGATTGGGGTTAAAAGAGGCACACACATTTCCTTTATGTGCATCTTTATCTTTTTAATTTTTTTACACTTAGCATGTATTGATTTTGTAATTAAAATGTGAAACCTGAATTTAAAATTTTATTAAGGAGATTTAACCAGGAGCTCTGGATCTAAAACTTTCCAGACTCGTTTAGACTAGAGGCACGTACGAGCAGAGTTGTTTCTCTGCACCACTTGTACTACCTCTTAAAGCAGAGCTTGTTCTCTTGGGGAGGCGGGTTTCTTACTCCCCGAGGAGATATCAGACCAGTTGGAGAAACTGTGTCCTCAGATGGCTGGCTGGCTTCAACTGCTAGGAACTCACCACAAATGTGCGACACAGGATAATGTCTGTCTTTGACTTCAGTTCCTCTGACCCCCGAGGGGTGACGTGTGGAGCAGCGACACTCTCCGCAGAGAGGGTCAGCGTGGACGACAGGGAGTATAAGAAGTACACGGTGGAGTGTCAGGAGGGCAGTGCCTGCCCGGCCGCCGAGGAGAGCCTGCCCATTGAGATCGTGGTGGATGCTGTTCACAAGCTCAAGTATGAAAACTACACCAGCGGCTTCTTCATCAGGGACATCAGTGAGTTTGCTTGATTGTATGTGCTTGATAAGGACAGATGCCATTCATCACATGTTCACAGTGCCCCAGGCACGGGGGGAAAGGGTTTACATGCCTTATCTTCTTTTATTCTGCATCCAAAAAAAGTGCAATGTAGGTACTATTATCTGCATTTTTAGGAAGAGGATTTTGAGTCTTAGAAAAGTGAAACAGCTTGCCCCAGATCTCACAGCTAGCAGTTCAGACACAGATCTGCCCCACTAGAAAAAGCAGGCTCTTGGCTGCTCTCCTCTTCTGTTGCCCAGGTAGCTTCCATGATGAATCCAAGAGCAGCCCCTGAAGCATCATATTCATATTCAGAACCAGGGTTTCCCTACTAATTGCAATTGTTCCCAACCAATCTTTCTCTAGCATTTGAAAAGAAACTTCTTTATTGGAATATAAACCCCCAAATGGACATCTAATTGGCAGATGGCGATTTTGCCATTTATCATTTCCTTTCCTATTTATCCAATGAAGGTGCATCACAAAATAAAGTCTGATAGAACCACAGAGCTTGCTCTAGCATTGTGGGGAGGTGGGGTCCAGTTCACAGAGGGTGGCCAGGGAAGGTCTGTCTGAGGAGGTGACATTTAGCTGAAACCTAAAGGAAAGAAGATGTCAGTTGTGTTAAATTTTTATGAAGCATCTGTAGGCGCCGTGGTCTTTGGAGTCGTGCTGGGCCCAGGAGCCCGAGCACATTGCATAGACTGTCTCCCCTCCCCTCATCTAGAAGAAGATACGCTACTGGAGGACAGAGGCTTTGTGATACCCACTGCTAAATCCTCTGTGCACAGTCCAGTGGCTGGCACATAATGGGTGCTCAGTAACTATTTATTGAATGAATGAACGAACGAGCATAGAGTCAATTTGACTATAACTGCTACAGGACAAGTTAGCGCCCGATGCCATGAAACGGCAAAAGAAAGCGCTAAATGGAAAACCTCTCATCTATGCCCAGCAAGAGGTTCAGCTCAGTTCCAAGTTTGTGCAGAGAAGGGGGACTGACCTCAGAGAGGGTCATCTTTTACGGCACAGCCCAGATGTGAGAGTCTTATTGTCTCTAAGAACTTTCTTCTGAGCACTACGCAGAGGTGGTTTCACCTCCAGGTCCCATCTGATGGTGCAGTGATGAGAAGGATTCCGAGCCTCTCTCAGGTTTCGCCATAAAGGACATGGCGACTGGTGAAAACCACCTCCCACAGGCGCCAGCGTGAGTAGCAGGTAGTAGGGGTCCCTCATGTCTGCCAACCAGGTGCTCACAGGAGTTAAGTAACCACCGTGTGGACTCAGAGCTGGTCAAGGTCAAAGTGCAGTCAGAAGCCAGCACGACCTTACTCCAAAGCCCAATTAGAAAAATAAAGGGTGTTTCTCTATCTTCTTCCATAGTCAAACCAGACCCGCCCAAGAACCTGCAGCTGAAGCCATTAAAGAATTCTCGGCAGGTGGAGGTCAGCTGGGAGTACCCCGAGACCTGGAGCACCCCACATTCCTACTTCTCCCTGACATTCTCTATTCAGGTCCAGGGCAAGAACAAGAAGGAAAGGGTAAGATGTGATCCAGGTGCCGTATATTCTGTGGTCAGGTTTATGCAGGCCCACATCAAGGAGAAGGTGAATGATGTCATCCTCTGGGTGATGAATCTCAGATGAACGATACTAACAGCTAATGTTTATTCAGAATTTTCTATGTGCCTGAAACTGTGCTAAGGGTTTTACATGTATCCACCACAATCTCACAGTAACCCTAGAAAGGCAGGCAATAGTATTGTTACCGCTTCAGGAGTGAAGACATGGAAGCTAAGAGAGGTTAAGTGATTTGCCAGAGGTCACCCAGCTAGGGTCAGAGTGGTCCATTCACAGGGAGTATAAGAAGTACAGGGTGGAGTGTCAGGAGGGCAGTGCCTGCCCAACCACCGAGGCGAGCCTGCCCACTGAGGTCGGTCCCACCATCCATCTAGTACTGGAGGGAGTGGGCATGCAGCCTTCAAGCAAGGCAGCTATGCTAGATGAAAGCCGGACCAAACAGTATCTCCCTCAGGGCTTACAAAGTAGAAAAGCTGCATGTGCTTAGCGCTTCTCTCAGCAGGTGGCGCAAGTTCCACGCACGCCCTTGTGAATTGCAAGTGTGTTGCCCTAAAACTAGAGTGTGCTTGTTTGGGGAGATGGTGCTTTGCAGAAATATGCCCAGTTCACCTTGTAACTGTGTTGCCAAAGATCTCTCTCTCCTTTGCAGAAAGACAGACTCTTCATGGATGAGACTTCAGCCACAGTCACATGCCACAAGGATGGCCAGATCCGTGTCCAAGCCAGGGACCGCTACTACAGCTCATCCTGGAGCGAATGGGCATCCGTATCCTGCAGTTAGGGATGCAGACTCAGGCAGCCCAGGCCAGACCTGAACACTCAGTGTACCCAGGTGCAGGGCAATGGTGGGGACGGTACAGGAGATGAAAGGGGGGATGAGGTGCCCGCACAAAGACACCAGAGTCAGAAACAGACATTTGTTCGTTAACAGATTCGATGCCCATATTGTTGCAGGCACTAGCCTGGGCACAGGGATGCTGCAGTAAAGAAAACAGGTGTAGGTCCTGCCCTCCTGGAAGGGAAGGCAAAGAAGAGAGAGGTAGCCAGGGGTCAGAGCATGGATGGCTTGTAAGCTGTTTCCAGGAATTAGACCCTCATCTAGGGGGCACTGGGAGCCCTGAAGGGCTTTACACAAGGAAATGACATGATCAGATACTCTTTTAAGAAAACTCTCAAGAGAGTCTCTGGTGAGCATGGTACCAGCCAAATCTTAGGCCACAGAAGGAAGGGCTGGACCCTTCTGACATGGAATCCCCAAAGGCCACTTGCCCCAGACAACATGTTGTGTGAAATAAGAAGGGTTGGCTGCCACATTTCTCATCCACATAGACTTTTGGCTTTCTTTTTCAGGTTCTAATCCCAGGATGAAACCTTGGAGGAAAAGTGGAAGATATTCTGCAAAATTTTTAAGAGACATGGAATAGATGCAAAAAGATATTTTCTACCAATTTGCTTTTTAATTTTTTAAGATCACAAAGATGTCTTTACTGTATTTTTATATTTAAATACTAAATGCCCACTAAAACATTCAGCTAATTTATTTATAGAGCTTCCAGCTAGCAGGTTGCCGCTGACCTTAATGCTATTTAAATATTTAAATAATTTATGTATTTATTAATTTGTTACTGTTATTTAACATTTGTGTGCCAAGATGTATGTTTCATACTTTCACAACCTGATCCAGAGAGAGAGGGCCCTATTATGCAAAATGTGTATTTTTGTGTTATTTATACTGACAGCTTTTCAAGCAAGGTTGCAAGTGCATCGGCTGCATGAGAACCAGTGAGAACACAGTGTTCTGATGCCAGCGCCATAATGTATTTGTGATGGATGCGAACACAAAAGATAGTTAAATAGAGACAGACACAAACCTGTTTGAGGAGGTCCTAGAGATGGAGATGTTAGTTCCCACATCCATGAAGACTGCCTGGAACTGGTGTTGATAAGGCAGTTCAGGGCCACCTGCACTTCTAAGCAAGTTTAGTCTTTGGCTGCCTGAACTTAGAAAAGGCTAAAAAAAATTATTGAAATTCAGCTTCAGCCTCCCTAGCTGTCCTCGCCCTCATCTGTCTGTAAGACATAGGAGGGCGACACAGAGACATCGTTAAGTGTCCGGAAAATAAAAAGCTTTCATGATTCAAGAGGGAGGACAAGTGTCGTTATGGCTAAGGAGATAAGATTGTCAGAATTGCCGCTGCTGGTGAATAGCCACACAGAAAAGCAGACGGATGCGGAGAAAACGATCGAGAATCGCTTACTCAGTATAAGTGAACCTGATGCGCAGCTAGGATCAGAAAGTGACGATCCATTAAGATGCTACTTTTAAGTACCAAATGTGCTTTCTGTAAAGTGATTCCATTTGTTTTCTGTTTATTTATTTTTACATTCCACTGGTGAGCTAATAAAAATGTAACTCTTCTTTGCAATAACGTTTGGTCTTTCTCTGCTGACTTGGGTATCTGGTTCTCATTTACCAGGGCTGCATTATTTTTCCCTGCCATTTAAGAACTGCCCCTCCATGAAGCAGTTTCGTTTCCAGTTTCACGGAGTTGCCCTTTCCCTTTATAGGATTCCCAAAGTCAGAGTCTGGCTGAGCTAAGGGACTGTCCCTGTGATCTGACCACTGAGCATTCCGCCCTCTTCAGGGGTGGATGCTCTCACTTCTTTCATCTTCTATCCTGGAATCAATCCTACTAGTTTCCCAAGCATCATGAAATAAACTCCCAGCTGGTAGAGCCATGGGCATCCCATGCCATAGGTCCAGCTCCAGTGCATACGGAGGGTTTGCCACGTGTCTGGACATGTGCTGGCCCTGGGGGTTGAAGAGTTCCAAAAAGCCCCAAACAGTGCCCACTCCTGGCACAGCTTATAAGACAGGGATGAAAAGTTAACTTCATACCACTAAATGCTAAAATCTTCAGTGTACATGGTGCCCTGGGCTGAAAACGAAGAAGGATCAGTGTAACCTGGAGTCACCCAGGAAGGCTCCATTGAGGTGCCCACTTTGGGCTCAAAGAATGGGCAGGACCTGCCAATTCCCCTATGGTGCCTCCCATGCAAAAAGCAAGTGGTGAGACCAGAAAGAATGGAGTCCATTCTCTGCCATCTTCAAAAGCCAAGGGTGCACATCCAGCTTCCTTGCAATGGTAAGCTAATTATCACAGGGATGTGGTTTCCATTTCTTATTTTAAATGTCCCCTGGAGCCCTTATTCCTCTCTGCTCCTGGCCTGGAGGAATGGTGGGGAGTTTCTACCATCCTAATCCAACATTTGAAACATATCATTTTGTGTTGTAAACCCACACTTAACAGCACATGGTTGGTTAATAACAAGTATTTGTCCTCCTACAGGCTCTTTCATCTAGAGATACCAAAACACTTAATGGGCACTTAATGAACAAAACTAACCAAAAAAAAAAAATCACATTTCATGAGTACAGCGACCTGGGGACCTTTTCCAAAACTTCCGGCCAGCCTAGGGCAGAGGTCAGATGTTCTGGCTCTCACCATACCCGGTGCTTTCCCGACACGACCTCTCAGCATTTGGGTAATCTCAGTACATGCAATGGAGACCTTTTCTCTTTGAAAGATATTCCCCAGGACAGTCCTTTTTATTGTGAATCTAGCTACTACAAAACGTATTCAAATGTCCTAGCAAAATTGCTCATGACTGGGAACCGGGAGCCTGGACCCTGGGCCTGGCCAACCTTGCTGCATGACCGTGTGACCTTGAGCAGGGCACTGGACACCACCTGCTGGTTGTCCAATCAGCACTCACCCCCAACCTCCTTCTCCCTTCATGTCCCTCCTCAGCTCTAGGGTCGGGAAGCTAAGTAATCACTTTCCAGCCACCCTTGCTGCCCAGCAAGGCCACAAGACCCAGTTCTGGCCCATGAGATGTAAGAAAATTCTACTGGAGGTTTTCCTGATAAAAGACAGAGCCATAGTTAGCATTGCTCTTTCCCTCCTTCCCTCTTGAGCAGATGAAATTGAAGAAGGCTCAGAGGCTTCCTTGGAACCAAGATGGAAGCCACCATGCTAAGACTGTAAAGATAGACTTTGGGATCCTAGTGACGTCATCAAGGAGCTGAACCAACCCCTGTAACTACTTTCTCCAGACTTCCTGCATTAGAAACATAGAACCATATTTGGGTTTTTTTAATTGTGGCAAAATACACATAATATAAAATTTACCATTTTAACCATACCACACTCACATTATTGTGTAACCATTACCATCATCCATCTCCAGAATGTTCTCTTCTTCCCAAACAGATTCTGTGCCCATGAAACAATAACTCCCCCATATTTGTTTTTAAAATAGAAAACGAATAAACTGAAAATTAAATAAAGCCAATCTCCTAAACATCCAGATCCTCATCTACAAGAGGTTGCTGGCCAAGTCAGAAGAAGGAGCCAGGCCAGCATGGGAAGGAACTGGCATCAGAAAACCTAGTTCTACCCCTTACAGCTGGCGCAACCCTAGGGAAGCCGTGGAGTGCTCAATTTCCAGCGATGCCAGGTGAGGGCCTGGTGATACCATGCCTGCCTGCAGAGAGATGTCCATAGCCAGGAGACCTGTTCCAAGGGCAGCCTGAGTGTCAGCAGGAGTCACCTCGGGGGGAGGCGGTTGGGAGTCTGACCGAGCAGCCCCCATGGAAAGACATCTCCGCTATTCCTTCATTCACTAGACATTCTTTGAGTCACTGCTCTGCCCTGCCACGATCCTCAACGTTCTGAATACAGGGGTGAACAAGACCTTGCCCTCACACCGTTTCCAGTCTCCGAAGGATTAAATGCTTGAAATTCTAAGCATTGGAGGTCACTTCTTGAGGTTGAAGGGCACTATGAAATGAGATAATTGGTTTAATGTGATGGCACAGTGCCTGGCCCACAGGAAGCACTCAGTAAAGAGTAGCTATTTCCACTGAATACCTCTGTGATCTTGAGCAGTTACTTAACCTCTTTAAGACTCAGTTTTATCACCTGTAAAATGGGATAATAACAGTACTTACCTCAGAGGGTGATTGTGAAGATTAAATGGAATAACACTTAGAATGGGCTTAGAAAAATACCCGATCCATAGTAAGTACTCAATAAAAGCTTATTGTTAATATTCTTATTATATTACCTATAACCTGAAAGAAGCACAACTCTGGACCCTGTGCTTTTGGGGGAGTGGGGAGATGGAGGGATCATTTTTAGGAGGCCTTACTGTCTCTCAGAACTGGGTTGGGATGGAGGGAGCGTTAATCAGCCAGTGGAGAAGAAAGAGATGGCTCAGTTAGTTGAGATTAAAAAGGCTTTCAGTGTAAAATCCATTTCTTATAAATAAAATTGCAGAAACATCCCCATGTGGTAGATACCAAGATGCCATGAACCCAGTTCCTGCCTTCAGGGATTGTACAGTCTGGTGAGAGAGAAAGGGGCTGATGTGGTGAATATATTAAAATACAGCCTGGCTGGGATGAGGTTATGCTCACCCTAAATATTTCTTTTTACAAAGGTTTTCAGCTTCCAGAAAGAGTCGTTTCATTCCCTTTCACCTTCCTGGCTGCAATAATTTGGCATAAACCGACCAATTCACCTCACCTATAAATCAGATTTTAATCATCTCTTTCTATTTCATTTCATCACGGGCCCTCTTCCAGGACAGCATTTGCGAGCAAAATGTATTTGGACGAGACTTTCTCCAGAGGGTCATATTATACCAAGGAAATGAATTTCCTTTCTGAAGCTCATAAAATGCAAAAATCAAATCAGCATTCAGGCTGAAGGCGAAGAGAACCAGGCGTGCGTACGGAAAACCCGACTTCGGCAGGAAGCGCGCTCGGC